CATGTCATTTCCTTTTTAGGTATGCACCTTCCTTTTTGGCTGAATTTTCACACGATATGATAATTGTAGCTTCTTCTCTTGGCTTTCTAAATGTGTTGAAATCATCTTGTTTGGTTTTGTATTCATGGAGAAAAATGCAAAAAAAAAAAAAAAAGTTGGCAATGAGAAAAATCTTTTACCTCATATCTCTACAATGAAAGCACTTTACAACATAATTCAAACAGATTCAGAAAGCTACAGTGCAGGACTACAATTTTTGTTTTTTTAACCATTTTAGGCAACTGGTCATGTGACCACTCTCCTAATGACCCACCTGACAGCAGCCAATGAAAAGGGCTGGCCTGCAATGAAAAGCATCCAATGAAATATCCTGGCCTGCAATGAAAAGCTACCAATGAAAATACCAGCAGCAATGAAAAGCAGTCAATGAAAAGGGCTGGCCTGCAATGAAAAGTATCCAATGAAAATACCAGCAGCAATGAAAAGCAGTCAATGAAAAGAGCTGGCCTGCAATGAAAAGCATCCAATGAAATATCCTGGCCTGCAATGAAAAGCTACAAATGAAAATACCAGCAGCAATGAAAAGCGGTCAATGAAAAGGGCTGGCCTGCAATGAAAAGTATTCAATGAAATATCCTGGCTTGCAATGAAAAGTTATTGAAATGCACAAGGCCTCTTATGAAAAAATCCTTATCATAAAAGGGCCTGGGATAAATATGATATACTTTTCATAAAAGTATGTGGAGCTATGCACAAGGCCTTCCTGGCCTAGGCCATGGTTTTATGATTTGGATGGTAAGCACCACTCACAAAATCAAAATCTCCTCCGAAAATTTTCGCTGTAAGACCTTCTATCCCTTACCACTACGACTCTCTGACTCGCATCTAATAGTTTGAATAGCGGCCATCTTTTCTGACAGAAAACAGTAACTTCACCTCGATGTCAACCCTCCAGCGAACAAAAGCGAATCTTTCCGAGGGAATAATTTGAAATGAAACGGATGGATGACATCGGGCACCCTCACAAATTTCCTGCCATCGACATCCACCGCACCCCATCAACAGCCGTCCAACCCATCCCCTTCATACTCGCCATCCCGTCCGTACTCTCATCGTCGATATATTTCTTCATCTCCGACGCAAAACACGCAAGAAGAAGGCGAAGTACCATCGAACCACCCTCCACCCCCTTCCCCACACCCATTCGCTCGTCAACATCTAGCTCTTCCTCCATCACTACCCCCACAGCGATGGCTCAAATGCTCCCCCTTCCCTAACCCAACCTCGGCCCTATCTCGCCTCTCGCACATCCCGAAATCCTCATGCAGACGCCCGTACCCTGGCATGGCCGCGGCCTGCGTTTCTCAGACAGACGGCCAGATCCCTTTGTTAGCCGTCTTTGGATCGTCGACGAAGGACGGCTTTCGGTCGGAAATGACGTGGATGGGAATGGAGAGTCACTGTCGTCTAGCCGATGATATTACCCCCTCAGATAGATCTCTTCGAGCTGGGGTGGATTCACAGTGCGAACGGACTGGAGAAGCTGGAGCACTGCGGGACGATATCCGACTTCTCACCTTCCTCGACTCCGAGATCGATGCCGAAGTCGAATTGCAGCTCCTCGACGATTGTATGGACTCGCGAGGAACGTGAACGAAGACGGTGTCTGCCAGGGTTGAGTTTTTCTTTTTTGGTGGTGGGACACTGGGTACTGTGGGGAGTAGTAAGAAGGCGAGCCCAAAGCTTCCGTGGACGTCTTTGTCCCCACGAATGGATATCAATCCGTCAAGCTCAGCAGGTCATATCAGTAAAGTCTCTCCTACCACAATCCACGCCAATCCTTCTCCCCTTCCCCTCCCACTCACGCTGCCTCATCCGCGATGCCCTACGAGTGCAGTCTGACAGTGGTTCTTGGATCTTCATCGCCGTACCGTCGACTCGTTTCCATCATCTCCGGGTGCCTCTACCCTGGTCATACAAGCACCTTGTCAGTCATTTTGCTGGGACACACGCTCACGAGAACGTCGACCTGTAGCTCTACATACTCTTTTGTCCAAGATTCGCCGTCCGTACGCTCTCTCGATACCCAAGGGGGCTTCTCCCGCCTATAGTCACGGAAAAGGTATGCATTCTCCCCACCCTACCCTTTAACTGCCTTTCATGAACCAAATGACGGTGTAGCAGCTCACCTCGTACGCCTTGCGAAAGCTTTTCACACATTCGAGTGACTCGTTCACCTGATTCCACCGCAACGATGGCCCATTTTGGCGGAGCTGGCTTCTGCGCACGGCTCACGATGCCGATTGGGCTGATGTTTCGACAACGAGCTCTGCAGGGAGGCTGAGCTTCGTCGAGGTCTTCCAGGTTCGTTGGCGAAGATGATGACGATGCTTGAAGGAGCGATGGCAGGTATATATAAGGGTCGTTGCTTTTCAACATCCATTGACGTGAGGTCGAAATTTCTTGGCTCAATTGTTGATCTCTCCCAGTAAGTCTACCTTCATTCCTATAAGCTATAATGGTGATAGCTAACGAGTCAGTTGGTTCTTGCAGGATGAGCAAAACAGGTATCGACCTTATCAAAGTCCAACACCTTTGCTACTGCAGTCCGTCTGTGTCTTGAACCAACTTTCTTTACCTCTCTCTCCTTGGGACGATGCTACCGCAAGACTCGCGACCGAATCCCTTCCACCTAACTCCGTTAGGTCAATGGCGGATGACGGCAATCCAGCTTTTTCCAACGCTCTCGCCCAAAATCTTCTCCGTTGTAGAATCTATCGTGGAATCAATCCTTAACATCTTATCTATTTTCTTGAGAACAAGATGAAAGCAGAACGGCGCCAGTTGTAGAATGATCAGCGCCCACCACGTGACAAATACCAACGCTATCCTGTACCCATCTTTCAAACCCACAAAAACTCACAAAGCAATAAAAACTCCTCTTAAAACCCTCAACAAACCCTTAGAGCTACTGCAGTGCTTTCAGTCCAAAAGCTCCCGTGAAAACCAGCCGAAAATTGTGGAAGAACCGAAGAATAGTGCGAGGCGCCTCTCCAGAAACTCTGGAAGATTTGGCAGTAGTTGAAGAAAGGGAGGACATATAGCGTGTGATTGCGTCTTGGTTTCGTTTGGGAGCTGGTGAGTACTTCCGTTTGAATGACATGTATGTATTGATTTTGTTCAAGTTGTTCATCTTTTGGCTATCCATAGTGCACGTCATGAGGCCAAATTCTACAAGTAGGTCCCCTCCCATCCCCATCTTGATCCCTCCTCCGTCTCTGACCCCGGCCCCCTAGGAGCCATGACCCACCCTTCCTGCGCCATAATTATCGAAGTATGATAGGGCTCGATCACTACCAGGACAACTTCGCCGTTAGTCTGGGAAACCCATTGGTGATACGTACCCAGAGGCGGAGGATGATACGTAGCGGACTTCGAGGAGAGGAGATGACGAAAGAGTCCAAGGTTCGTTCCATCCCCTTTTCTATCCTTTTCCCAGTTCTTACAAACCTATACCACTACTGCAGATTCATTTACACTTACTCTCCGATACGCTAGAGTTTGCAGCGCGTCTCGTGGCCCACTTCCCCAACCATTACATCTTCCCAGCATTTACATCTATGTGTTGTGGTGCTGGGGTGTTATCAGGTACGCAAAGCTCGTTCTGTACGTTTCTTGGTCCTCATCTGGCTACGCCCAACTTGGTTTAGGGTGGAAATGTCGAAACCCGTCAACGTCTAATCCCGTAGGAGAGGACCGTAAACTGAAGACACTTTCCCCATTTACAGTCGAGAAAAGGTGTGAATTTCTTCTATATCTTTTGACTCGCCCATATGGCTCATTCCATTCTTTTACATAGTATCCAGGCGAAATCTTCGCCGATTATCCTTTGAAGGATGGGAGGATTACGGACGTTATCGAGCGGCTGCTCGGCGATATCAACGATTAAGAATTCGAAAACGAGCATCGGAATCACAGCCATTCTTCCTCCCTCTTTCCCTTCACAAGACACCTCAAAACTATTACCAACACCGTCATCCACTAAATATCCACAAATGACTCTCGCAGCACGACTTCGAACTCTCTTCGAAACAGACACCCTTCATGACCCCAGGAACCCATACAACACCCTCCTGGTTCTTTGAAGAGGAGGAAGCTGCCGATATGCCATACAGCGCTAATACCTTGGACGGCGGAGGAGAGGGATAATGTGTGGAGTGTTTATGGGTGTGGAGGTCTTGGCTTAGGTGCTCGTACATAAGGAAGGATCAAGCTGCTCGTCGTTGCCAAACACAGCTACCTTTGCGTCCCACTTTCGCCTTCTTTTCCGTCTGGAGAGTGGTGCTACGAACCCGGAATTGGCGAGGGCGAATTGGATACAGTGCGGCCCCAGACTCGCGAGCTCTCTTAGTCTGATCCTCTCCCCTGCCAACCCCAACCCTTCTAGCCTGAAACCTCTCCCCATTCCCCAACATCACCCCCTCAGCTATACCCAAAACCGCTCCATCCTTGCTCGCTCTCTGCATCGTCAAGCGTTAGCATTGATAATGGCGATGCTTTCAAGGGAGCTCACTGGCCATCAGAGGGTCGTGGCCGTTTGCAAGTTATTGAGGTGCGGTCAAAGGGCCTGATTCATCAGTTCGCTTTTATTGTGGAGGCTTTTCAAGTAAGGCTATTTTCATTCATGTAATGGTCGCTAACGAGTCTACACACAGTTGGCTCTTATAGGAAGTTCTGCCGCAACCCCTCTATATTTTAACCCAACTCTCCTCGGGAGGAGACTAGAGTCCTCATCCGACGCTAACATTTCAAGTCGAGGCTTGCGAGTGAAAGCCCTTCCACTTACTTTCCTTATGTCAACGACGGACGACAACGACATAGCCTCTTCAATGCCCTCACATAAGGCCCCCCTTTGCAGTGGCGCCCCTCGTCTCTGTTGTGTCTTACCGCCCCAACCAGAGACAGAAATTAGCGCCTCACGATCCTAAACAGGGTACGCCAACATGAAACAAATTGGAAACAAACATTGCTCGGACGGCAACTAAAACACGCTGCTTGGCTGGGAACCGCTCATAATACATACATGACAACATTGAAGCAACTCTCTGTGGGATAATCAGTCTGGCGCTACCCCAACATCAAGTGCAATGTCGAGACTTGCCAACGAAGCCCTTCCACTTGACTTACATTATGTCAACGACGGATGACGACAACCTAGCCTCTGTACTGTCCTCCTTTGCATCGACCCCGCTTCCCAAATAGCCCATTGCTGACCTGTTTTATGGCCGCAACTCAGGGACACGAGCCATGGCCAGCCACTCTCTATGCACTACCCTTTGCCGGAATAGTTGGGTAGACCTCTTAAGGACCTCGGACGCCTAGCTTCGAAGTCTGGTAACCGACACAGGCGTTATTGAATATTGAGGGGCCGGTCGCGGTTGGAGGAGTTTGACAAAAGATTGCTGACGCAAAAGTACTAGTCAGGCAAAAGTGGTGACAGAAGATGTGGAATGTCAGTCCGATATCGTGTACATTTCCATGTCCTGTAAGTCTGTACAAACGTCGTAGTATTTTCAATCAATCCTTTCATCTCCGTAGCTCACTGGGAGGTGAAATTTAGGGGACCGGCGCCAATTATATTCAACCACCATCACCTAAACAAACACCAACGCCCGTCTGTCTTCCAAACCCACGAAAACTCTCGTTCAAAACCCGTCGAAAAACAGTTTCAACACCCTGGATTCGAAAAACACCTCCGACTAGCCGTATAGTGCAAGGTGCCTGTCCAGACAGTCTGAAAGAAACTCGCGGATTCGACGGTAGCTGAAGAGAGGACGGAGGAGAGATGGTGTGGGATTGCGTCTTGGTTCCGTTTGGGTGAGTACTTGGGTTTGGTGCATATCGATGACGAGTACTGATTCTGTTCAAGTTGTTGGTCTCTGCCAGATCTCGCGCTAGGAGCTGGCTGAGCTACGTAGTCGCGACGCCAATTCTGTAGAAAACGGCACGTACGTCACCTCCCCATAGTTGTTCCTCCTTCGTCTCTGACCCTAGCCCCCTAGAAGCTATGGCCTACAACGCGAGGCGTCGTATTCGGTGAGATAGGTTAGGTTTCGATGACTCTTACAAGAAGTTTACAACATGCAACAAAGGGTGCTCGCAAATCGTTAGACTGGGTACCGGACTTCGATGCCGAAAGAGTCTAAGGTTCGTTCCATTCCCTTTGTTATCCTTTTCCCAGTTCTTACAAGAACATACCACTATCACAGATTCATGCACACTGCTCCTCTGATACTGTAGCCTGACCCCCTGTCCCAACGTCTACATCTATATCGGTACTCCTACCCTTTTCCCTTTCCCTTCTAGCCTCATCCCCTCTCTTCACAGATGCGAATCTACCAAACGTCCTCTACCAGCCCTCTCTTGGAGCTCCAAACCCTCCTTAAAGTTAACCTTCCTTCATGTCTCTCGAACCTATACGAATCCCTCACGGCCAGCTTGAAGGAAAGGGTGTCGCTGATATGTCATACGGTGATGAAACGTGGACGACCGAGTTCGTTGTTTTGGCAATGGGGGAGGGAGGGGAAACAGAATGCGCGAAAGGTGTATGCGGTTTGAGGTGGTTTTGCACGCATATAGGAACTTGAGATGGGATGGAAACGACATCCTTCTCTCCGCATCCCAACCTGCCTATCATCCTCCTACTGCTCCCAGTCCGGTGCCGTCCCCTCACTGGTTCAGTCGTTCAGCTCTACATTCATTGATCCGCGTCCACCCATCTCAACTTTCTCTTCGCTTCGTCCTTGCGCCTCTTCTACATCACCCATCTCATCTTCAGATTTCGGTCCATCTTCGCGATTCAGAACTTTACCGCGAACGACGACGAGCTGTCCCTTCCTTGTCCGCAGTTCAATTCCCGCAGAGCAGCCATCAAGCCACTCGTCATTGCCAAGCACAATGGTTCGCCGCAAACGTCCTCGTTCAACGACAGTGAGCCCCCCATTTCCGTGTCACTCCTCCAGCCGTTCAAGAATTCCATCAAAAGACCTCATGTGAAGAATGTTTTTATCTACGGAGAGCCAATGTGACTCAGAATGGTGCACTAGAGAATCCTCCAAAATTCTCATCCTCCACTCTCCCCTCCCCACGACACAAAGCCCCTCACACCCCGAATCAATATTCGTCCCTCGCCACTCAATCTGGTACTCGAAACCACTCCCACTCCCATGTTCTTCCCGTAAAGGATCATAGGGAGGGAGCGCTATCAGTTGACTGTCACTGGTGCTACTGCTAGTGAGTGTGATGATGACCGTGATGATGATGATTGTGGCCATTAGGCGACGATTGATCACCACAACTCATCATAAAATTCTGCATTGGCAGCAGGCACATTCACGGACAAAAGGAACTTGCGAGAGGGATCGCGAAGGTTGAACCTGGTCGAATCCATGTTGCTGTTGATGCTGATGCGCGCTGGACGAACCATTGACATCACAACATATATAGCCTATAGGTACCTTCAATGCCAGCGGATTTCATTCTCCAGTCGTGAGCCCTGTTGGTGCCATACAGAGCAACAGGCTAGAAAGGAGTCGAGCACAAATCCAACGAAGAGGGTAAGTCGCCAACGAATGAGAAAGACGAAAGCAAGGAGGACGAGTTGGGAAAGGCCAGAAATAATAGGCACGTGTTTTGCGTGGTTAGATTTTAAAAATAGACCAACTCGTCCGGGGGCCGTTCAGAGCGGTTGCACCAAGGTGGTTCTAAGGCCTCGAGGGGCTGGCTCTGTAGCGCCCATGGTGGGATGTCGGCCATAGTACGCAGCCGTGGTTGGATATAAATGTACGCTTGTTTCGTTGAACAACCGCCAAAATCAGCACTCTAAACGATGCAGTTCCTCCTCTCAGCTTGGGCATTTGCCCAGTCTTTCTTCGATCTCACGGCGCTCACTGGCATCTCCAACTATGACAGCATGTCACTCACTTCCACCAGGCATGCACATGGCCTGAGACAATCGAGAGCGCGTGCAGCTGCCTCCGACGTCGCCATGCGCGCCTTCAAAGCCGAAGCCCTCGCAAGCAACGCGAGCTTCCTGCAGAGGCTCGACCCCGACGGCTGTCTCCACGTCTCCCACAACTTCCTCAACTACCAGACCTACCCAGGTTATGACAATTCAATCGGAATCAGCGGACCAGGGCCAAACGGGTACAGGATGTTCAGCTCAACATCCGATATCAACGACCCAAACACCGAAAGTCGGCTTCGCAATGATTTCGTTTTCAATGATGGTAGCGCTCCCTACACGTCCGTTTCATTCCCCTCCCTCTAAATATCGAACTTGAGCAAATAACGTACTTAGGAGCATCTGGATTACCATGCGCAGAGCCCCAGACAGCGGTAAAAACTCCAATGTCGTCCTCCGCGAAGAGCTCTGCGTCGTCGGTCCCCTCGACCCCAACGGCAGCCACTACCACAACTGCGATGAGATCGACATCGCCGAGATCTACGGTGGCGGGAACAACCAAGCCGAGTTCACATTCTACACCGGCTCTGGCTCGTACATCCCTGGCAAGCCACCCCAGCGCCAGGGCGGTGGGGTGTACACTGACACCACCAGTGGCGCGGCTGGCCAACAGTTTTACGAGTACCAGTTGTATTTGGAACAGGGGAAGTATCTCACGTTCACTATTGCGGATGTGAAGACTGGGCAGACGATTGGGAAGCGGGATTATGGGCCTCCAGGTATCCCATCCAAGCCGTTGAACTTTTTCATGGGAGAGTACAATTGTGCAGCGAGCAGGCCTGATGCTAAAAATTACTGCGGGGGGCCTTACAATGGTAATTCGTTCATGGAGATCGGAAGCATCTTATATCGTACCTGCGACTGATAGTAGTCATTAAAAAGTTGTATATATAGTTCGAGGATTCGAGACCTACATGCCACGCACTCTCCCGACGACTATGTCCAAACTCCGCCTCGTTGTTTATGAATTTCTCCTGCATGCGTGAATACGTTGTCGAGAAGTCGGTTGTTGTTGCAATTTCTACTGACCAAAATTCGTGTGGTGTCTGTCCCCCTCAAACCACGACATATCCGGCATTGGTTTTGAATGAAGAATGGAGTTATGCCACTTGTACTCCATCACCTCTCGAACCTTGGCAAGTTGGAGGCTCTTTCGATGTTCAGGTTGCAGCGCTAGCACCCCATTACACCAACCTCTACGAACCTCCACACACTTTCCCTCCTCGATCGCTCGCCTAGCGCTTTTGAAATATATCGCGCAAAGGCTCTCTGGTCGTCGAGTCGGAGCACCATGGCTAACGTCTCCACCTCCGCCCACGATCGCAACTCCATCCCACAGCAGACACCTGCCATAGCACTAGGCTCATCCACCGTACGCCCATTTGTCCCTTCTCCTCTTAACCGCCCTTCCTTTTCGCAATCTTTGAAGCAGAGTTAACGATCGAGCGCCAAGTCAACTAATGCGAATTCAACGTGGTCCTCCCTATCTCTCAGAGCTTGGGAAATCAACATATAAACTCCAACCCACGACGATGGAGAGGCCTCTTCGGAAAGACGGCGAATCGAGGGCGTCGTTGAGAAGTTTGAGGGAAACCTCGAATTTTGGGGAAGCCGACAAAGGGGAAAAAGGGGGGACACGAGCGGGTTTCCAGATGCATTCGGCCCCTGCAAATCGACTCTCACACTCTTCGGCTCTCACTGTCGAAGAAGGTTGGTCCGAACCCGGACCAAGATACCCGCACTTCAGTCACCCATTTTAGGGTACCCCCGAGGTATATGAATTCTTTGATTTAAGGGTACCTCAAGGGTACCCATTCCAGAGTGGTATGTGAGCACCATACCAATACCATGGTACCATGGAATGGAAAACTCATACCATATCCCACTCATACCAATACCAAGTTACCATACCATACCATGTCATGTTATACCATACCAGATGGTATGATACCATCATACCAAAGCTGTCACAGGGTGTCTGGGGTCCTTTTACAAAATAAATAAATAAATTCTGCAGGCTGCAATACTGGTCCATTGGGTACCATTTTTTGTGGGGTGGTTCTCCATGTTTTTCTTGAGATATTGAACTACAAATTGAGGTTAGATAGTCCAAACCATCTATTGAAAATGAATTTAAATAGGCTTTATCCCAGCTTTTCTCATGCATCCAAAGCCATTTAATGATACATGTCTTTCCCAGTCCTTTCTATTTGAACAATATTCATCCAAATCAAACAATACCACATCTATTGGGATGAAGTGGTCATTGAGAAGCAAAGAAAAGTGGAAAGGTTCTTCAGGTTTTTTCTAAGATTTCCAACTCCAAGTGGAGGCTAGATAAGTCAACTCCAACCTTTGGAAATCAGTTCAATTGAGGGTTTTTTCATTTCTAAAAAGCCATTAATATGAATCCTCCCAATAATAGGTCAAATATATTTTGCCCAGTAGGGCCAATCAGGCAGTCCTACCTACTTACATAGCATGTACATATAGTATGGCCAACAACAACATATAATCTCAATTTTCTTAAAAAGTACATATGATGGAATCAGGTATTGTGTGGCCAAAGTCTTCTTGTC